AAAGAAAGAAAGAAAGAAAGAAAGAAAGAAAGAAAGAAAGAAAGAAAAGCTACTCATATCCATAATCCAAATCATGGCAACATTTCTATTAACCTCATTTCATGATTTTTAGAATAACATTTCTGAAACAGGCTTGCTCCTGTCTATCCAACCACTATCACGAGTTTGAGTTCCTTCTTTAAGAATCCAGACAGTCGCTGAAAGTATGATAGACAGCTTGCTATTTCAGGGCTGAACTAGCACCTGCGAAGGGACAGGACCTTTCCCAGTTTAATTGTGGGCAGCAAGTCGTGGCAGCAATCAGGGTCAGGCAGTGGCTGTGGAGGTAACTGATATGGAAACAACAGATGTCACTGTGGCAGATGTAATATCTGCAACTCTGCTTCCTTATTGCTTCGGTTAGAAACAAATACATAATGAAAAAGCACCAAATCAAAGGCAACACATTAGAAGCTCTGGTGTAAATGGGTGGGTGACAAGCGTGTCTGTTGATGAACAGAAGTGGCCTTCTTCCCTTGAAATTCTCTATTATTTCAAAGCTTTCCTAAAAACAGTCCCTAACCTCAGTTTCTTTACATTGGAGGTGAACGCAACAAAACGGGATCCTGTTGACAATAGTCTACTAAAGGAAAATAAGATATCTCTAAATATTCTATAAATTATGTATTATTTTCCATTACTTTTAAATCATTATAAGAATGGAACCAGGACATCCATATGTTTTGTTAAAAGTCTGTACTGTACATCACTAAGATTACAATGTGGCTCTTATTGCCCTAATATATAATCAGAAAAAACCCCAAATGTCCATATTATGTTTATATCATAAATGTTCTAAATGAACTCATTATAATGATCATAATTTATAGTTAAAAACAAACAGTGGATTTTTTCCAGAGGCTTTTAATATCTTTTTTTAATTGTTTGCTGTGTTCAAAATATGCATTTTTTTTAAGATTAAAGCATTAAAGTTGCTAATTATATTCTCAGAACTAATAATTATTTCTTTACCCTTTTACTACCTTCTTCTGGCAATAAAAAAATGTCAGCACTGATTTAATTTTTTGCTATTATAGGATTAAAAGAAGTTTCTAAAAGGCAATTAAACATGCCCTATAGCAATTTCCTATCAGCATCCAAAAACTCTTTGCTAAAACAACAGAATTTTTAAAAAGAATATTCAAGCTCTCTACGCTCATTTTTATATAACATTCCACTGGCAATTATCTCCAAAGACAACTTGACTGTCATAATGGGATTTTGCACACATCTAGACCTTAGTTTATCATGTTAGATTAACAGAAGACAATGAAAGATAGACGATTGCTTGGAATACCAACCTTCTACTTATTGTGTGCTGGTTCTTCACCTTTAGGATCTAAACTCACGATCAACCAGAGGCTTAAGTGAAAATAATCTCTATGTGAACTCCCGCCTGATGTATCACAAAATCAATTATTGTACGATAGAGCATTTTGTAACCTGTGTTCTGGTTAAATTCAGTTTTGTTTTTTTAACTCCCATTGGGAATTCTTCAGTTATCGACGTGGAGAAATATTCTCAGAGAAAATGTTGGCAGTCAAGCATCCTTTCGTTTTAACAGTCAGAATAGGTTCTGTGTGTTTGCTAAATCATATGGCATCAAAGCTTCATTTTGTCACTGCATTGGAAGCAGTGATGCTATCCTACCAGTTCAACCGGTAGCGCTGAAGATCAGCGGAGATTGAACTGGTTTTGTCTGATGAGCTGCTGTTGGGCCCACCTGCCTGCCTGGGCTCCCATAGCTTTATTCCTACTTTTGAAGCGCAGCTGCTTTGCGCGGCACAGCAGATTGTCACGTGTCAGTTGCTGAAGTGATAGGGAGCGTGCAGGATTGCAGGAGGTGAGAAGGAAAGCCTCTGCACTTGCACAAAGTGTGTGTTTGGCGCATGCATGTGTGCAAAGTGTGTGTGCGTGTGCAAAGCGCGTCCACCAAGCTACGCCCACTGAACTGGTGGTGAATTACTTTGAAACCCACCACTGATTGGAAGGCAGTTCTGGTCCCCTGCTTTTTTAATGCAGAAAGGCACATATATAGATAAAGGTAACAGTTTCCCTGTCCGGCTCTGTCTGATTCTAGGGTGCGTTTCATTTCCGTTTCTTGGCTGAGGAAGCCAGTGCTGTCCAACATTTTCTGTGGTCATGTGGCCAGCATGGATATACACCAGAGGTGGTATTCAGCAGGTTCTGACCAGTTCTGGAGAACCGGTAGCAGAAATTTTGAGTAGTTCAGAGAACCGGCAAATCCCACTTCTAACTGGCCTGCCCCCATCTATTCTCTGCCTCCCGAGTCCCAGCTAATCAACTGGGTCTTCTTTTGTTGCCCTGTACAGGAGAACGGAGCTGGAAAGCAGGTTAGTGGGGTGAGGAGGGAATGGGGATTTTGCAGCAACCTTCCCCTGCCACACCCACCAAGCCACGCCCACCCAGCCATGCCACACCCACCAAGCCACACCCACAGAACCGGTAGTAAAAAAATTTAATCCCACCACTGCTATACACCAAAAGTGCTGTTACCTTCCCACCAAATTGGTACCAATTAATCTACTCGCATTTGCATGCTTTCAAACTGCTAGGTGGGCAGGAGCCAGAGCAAATAAAGGGAGCTCACCCTGTTGCATGATGGCTCTGATCTCCAACCTGTTCTGTCAGCTTTCCAGCTGACAAGCTCAGCGTCTTTAACCTCTGAACCATCAAATATATAAAACTTTCCTAAAAACCTTAGGCAGGAGGGTCTTATGAATCTTCTCTCCCAATTTTCTTCTCATTGTTAAGTCAATCTGATTTCCCCCCACTGTTTTCATCCGTTGAAGTCTGTCATTCCCAATAGTTCCTAGGGGTATATTTTAATTGATTAGTTTTAGAGTCCTGAATTTTAAAAAAATGTCAATCCAAGCCATTATTTCAAATACTGAATTGTACTTTGAATGGTTCCCTCCCAATATGGGCTTCAGGACAATTATCCCAAAGACCTCCTAATATATATTCTTTTGAATCAGTGATGGACAAAATGCCACATGTCATACTTAGCATGAGTAGAGCAAGTAGCTCTAAGATGTTCCGAAGGTTATTTTTTAAATCCACAGAAGATTGTATCACCAGAACCAACAAACCATGGGTTGAATGATAATTTATTTGAAACAAGCTAATGGAAAAGGCATAACATGATCTTTAGGTGAAACGGAGGCATTAGTCCATTCTCTGTCTTAATTTCTCTTCTAGCAACTTATGCATATATTGTACATTTTTCTTTCTTGGATACTATGTGAGGAACTATATTGGTTTTTTTCAGTGGTGGGATTCAATTTTTTTTTACTATCGGTTCTGTGGGCATGGCTTGGTGGGTGTGGCAGGGGAAGGTTACTGCAAAATCCCATTCCCTCCCCACTCCTGGGGGGAGGTTACTGCAAAATCCCATTCCCTCCCCACCCCACTAATCTGCTTTCCAGCTCTGTTCTCCTCTGCAGGGCAACAAAAGAAGACCTAGCCGATCAGCTGGGACTTGGGAGGCAGAGAATAGATGGGGGTGGGGCCAGTAAGAGGTGGCATTTGCCGGTTCTCCGAACTACTCAAAATTTCCACTACTGGTTCTTCAGAACCTGCTGAATACCTTCTCTGTTTTTTTCAACCTTTGATTACTGCTTCTCAGTCCAATAGGTTTTAAATATATTTTCACCCACTTGTGTTAGCTTCTGTTCATTTATTTCTATTTCTTTTTAATATGCTTTGCCAGTCCCTCAAATGAGGTTGGTCTACTTTGATCAAACCAACTCTTTATTTCCTTCCTAATTAGTTGGTTAATGACAGTTATTGTTTTTAAGTGGGAGAAGTCATGCCCAGGAATGGGAAAATTATATCTGTACACTGTATTATTAAAACGATTATTGTCCTCACCTTTAAATGGGAAAAACAGTGCATCCTAGGGAAACAGTTTTTGAATCAAGGTACTCCAAATGGGCTTACAGTTTGCATCCAAAATCCTGGAACCATAACTCCCAAAGGAATGAAATTTGGGGAGGTTGTGGCTGTTTACATGCTACTGGCTCCTGATGTGCTTCTGGGATGCTGCTGTAGTCCTGTGAACCTCATTTTCATGATAGTTTTCCAGCCAATTTCACAATCTGTTGCTCCTTCCCCCATCCAGCAGCATCCATTTATCTGCCTGCTGGGAGGAGAGAGGAGAGGAGAGGAGAGGAGAGGAGAGGAGAGAAGAGAAGAGAAGAGAAGAGAAGAGAAGAGAAGAGAAGAGAAG